CATTAACACTGCACTGAGATAGAGGGGTTAATACAGACTAACTGGACATAACAGTCCATTAACACTGCACTGAGAGAGAGGGGTTAATACAGACACACTTGACACTACAGTACATTAACACTGCACTGAGAGAGAGGGGTTAACACAGACACACTGACTGGACACTCCAGTACATTAACACTGCACTGAGAGAGAGGGGTTAACACAGACACACTGACTGGACACTCCAGGACATCAGCACAGCTCGAGAGGGCCAGACACACCCGGGGAAGAAGATGCTCTCCACCACCACGAAGTCCTGCATCAGCACGTCCCTCTCGGCCTTCTGGCTCAGGCTGCCCACCGTGTGCGTGATGCCCAGCTGGATCGCCCCCTTCAGGGCAGAGGAGGTGGTCTGCAGGGGGCAAGAGGGAAAGAAGGGGCCGTCAGCCAGCGGAGAGGCAGGGCTGCACCCCGAGAACGGACCTCAGTGAGCTCAAGCCGGTCAGGTCCAGCGAGTAGTGGACCATGCAGACCAGCAACCCCAGCAGAGTGAGAGGGCTTGTCCAGCCTGACACTGGGCCCACCACTGTTGTACAGCCCCTACCCCCCAACAAGGGAGGCTGACCTCTGACCTTTTTGTATGTGGTCTCCCCCGTAGGGTCCACCCCCCTGTGTCCGATCTTCTTCAATGTCTGGGAACTGGGCATCCCCGAGGAGCCCGGGACCTGGGAGAGGAAGAGGGATGAGGGATGAGGGTAGGAAGAGAGGTATTCCAAGGGAGAAGAGAGAGAGAGAAAGAGTCACCATGCTGCCAGTATCCACAGAGAGGGGCAACAGGCTGTGATGGAGGCTTTCAGCCCAGCCAATCAGCTTCGGAATTAGTTAACTGACCCCAGGCCAAGTTATCAGCTTCACCAACAAAGAGCAGCTTGTTCCAGACTCCAACAACCCTTCCAGTAAAGAAATGCCTCCTGCGCTTCCCCCTCGTTCCCACTTGAGCAAGAGAGCCCCCCTGTGCAGAATTCCTCAGCGCCTCTTTGAAAACCTGAATCAAGTCCCGTCCTAATCTTCTCAGTCCGAGACTAATGAGATTAATGTCTTTCAGGTTGTAAATGAAGAACAGTCCCTTTAGGGCCTGTGTGGTCTAATGTGTTTATGAAAATACTACAACAGATGCCAAGTGTGGACTCCTGGGAGAGACAGGACACAGCACACTGTATGTCTCACTGCTCCAGGTGAGCACACACAGGTCTGGAC